ACTGGTTTTTCCTGGAGATTTGGAGAGAAGTCATTTCACCCAACCAAGGAACCCACTCTTGCTTAGATACCATAACTAGTAAAGATGCTGCTGAAAAATTCCATCAGCATCTACATATATTAATTACAACCTATATACTGTGCATTTGTAAGTTGGAAATAGATAACAAAATGGATTTGAGAAAATAATAAGGATCATATGCATAAGATTTAACTGTAAGTATACTCAGTATTCAAGCACTAAAAATAAGTCCCAACTAATTGCAATTGTGTGTGTGTTATTTCTTCAGTATACATTGTCAAGCCTCTATTATAGGCCAAGCATTGGAGATATAGAGAGAATTGAACATAATTCCTGCTCTTTGAGGAATTCACAGTGTAGAGATACCAGGCAATATTATGTATACTGGAAACATGCCTCATGAAAATACTATGTGCAAAATTTTGTACTTACATAAGGAAGTTACCTCAGGAAGGTGGTAAAGATTTACCAAACATCATGTTCAAATGAGTGATCATGAAAGATGATTATGTGTTTTTCAGGTAAAAAGAAGGCAAGAAAATTCCAGGCAAAGAGATGATAATGAGGTACAAAATGACCTGGTATACTTGCAAACAAATGAATGGCTTAAAAAAGCTAAAGCACATGGGAGAAAATGAAATAAAGCTGGGAAGATAAAAAGCTCACAGGTATCTTTACTTTCCATAACAAGGAGTTGGTGTTTATCCTCTGCTAGGTGGCAGGGTTGACGTCAAAGGAGCAACATGATAGTCTGTGCTTTTGAAAAATAACTCTGAGAGAGATATTAAGGCAGTCTAGCAAGCACAAGAAAATATGGCTTCTGATTTGCCCTACATGAAGCAGAAAGTAAGTAGATACAAATTTGTAAAACACCTCCAGGGTGTTTATGGTTGGAGACAGCAAAGCAAAGCAGGCCCTTCACTTTTCTTGAGCACCCCACAGTTGTAAGCAGGACATAGGCTCATCACACAGCTCAGATGCCCAAATAAAGACAAATCTATAGCCCTCAAGACCCTCACACCCTCCCAACAAACTTCCCAAAGGTAAAGGAGATAAAAGCCAGCCTTCAAGATGCCCTCAGTGCAGCTCTCAAGACTGCCCACCTCACTTCCTTTCCCTTTGAGTGTGTACTTTCTCCTTAATAAACTCTTTGCTTTACTTGCCAACTTGATGACTTGTTCTTGAATTCTTTCCTGCAATGAAGTCAAGACCCTGGACAAGAGTTAAGGTGTCCTCTTGCTACATTAGAGAGACCTCCTCTCTGGCAATAATGCGAAGGTTAGAATGGAAGTAGAGAGATCAGTTGGGAAGCTCATGTGACAGCCTAGGTGGATGTCTGAAGGCTGTGGAATGCATTGGTGGAAGTAAAACATACTGAAGAGATACTCTGGAGGAAAAATTGAAAGATTTGGTAAACCATAAGCTGTGAGGTTAAAGGTAAAAATGACTGATTTCTAGTTGAAACTGAATGGTGATCTAATACATGATAAAACGAAAAAGCATGTTTGTAGGACAAAACCAGAGGTTTAGTTTGATACACAATGCTTTTGAGACATCCAAATGGAAAAACTAGCTGAAAAGACTGAAATTCATGTCTGGAGTAATGGAAAGAGCTGGTACTGAAAAAAGATTTGAGGACCCTAGATACAGTCAATCCTCACTATTTGCATATTCCTTATTTGCATATTCACCTACTCACTAAAATTTACTTGTAACCCTCAAACAAATACTTGCGATGTTTTTGTGATCATTTTCAGACATGCACAAAGAAGCAAAAAAAATGAGTTGCCCGATGAACATGTTCCCTGCTGAAGTAAAACAAGGAAACACTTTGACTTGTTTCAGCTCTTCTACTATAAAGTATTCTTTCCATAACCTATTTGGTGCCTTCATTTTTCACATGGGTGCTTTTTGTTGGTGATTCTGCTCTTTAAAATGGCTCCCAAGTGTAGTGCTGAAGCGCTATCTGGGAATTCTAAGTGCAAGAGGCTGTGATGTGCCTTATAGAGACACACATATGTTAGGTAGGCTTCCTTCAGGCAGGAGTTATTGTACTAGTAGTGGCTATGACTTCGTTGTTAGTGAATCAATGATATATATTAAATATGGAGCCGGGCTTGGTGGCTCAGCCTGTAATCCCGCGCCTTTGGGAGACTGAGGTGAGTGGAGTGCCTGAGCCCGCGGGTTCGAGACCCGCCTAGGCAGGCGAGATCTCATCTCTACAATAAATAAAAAAATTAGCCGGGTGTGGTAGCGCGCGCCTGTAATTCCAGCTACTAGGAAGGCTGAGGCAGAAGGATCGCCAGAGACCAGCAGGTCGAGGCTGCGGTGGCCGGGAGCGGCCACTGCACTCCAGTCTGGGCGACAGAGTGAAACTCCGACTCAAAAAAATAAAAATAAAAATTTAAAAAAATATTAAATATGGGGTTTTTTTTTTTTTTAACAGAAACAGACATAAAACAAGGTTATGCATTGAGCAGTTGATGAAGATGTCCTCAGGGCAGCTCTCTGTATTTCCCCTAGTAGTTCCCTCAGTAGAAATGATTCAGTGTTCAGTAATTCTCAAAATTATTACTGCGAATAAGGAGAATATAACTACTGTGAGTAGCCAGGCTCGGTGGCTCAGCCTGTAATCCCGCGCCTTTGGGAGGCTGAGGTGAGTGGACTGCCTGAGCCCGCGGGTTTGAGACCTGCCTGGGCAGGCGAGACCTCATCTCTACAATAAATAAAAAAAAATTAGCCAGGCGTGGTAGTGTGCACCTGTAGTTCCAGCTACTTGGAAGGCTGAGGCGGAAGGATCGCCGGAGCCCAGCAGGTTGAGGCTGCGGTGGCCGGGAGCGGCCACTGCGCTTCAGTCTGGGCGACAGTGAGACTCCAACTCAAAAAATAAATAAATAAATAAATAACTACTGTGAGTAAGGAGAATCAACTACATGTAACCAGTAGGTATGAGACTAGCTGATATTGAATGTGGAAAAATATACACACGAAAAAAATAAGAGGGTCAAAGGCAAAACCCTAGGAAACATCATCACCACTTAGAGAGTGGACAGAAGATGAAATGTAAGCAGAAGCTCTAAGGGAATTATTAGGTAGGTAAGAAGAGAGTGTCAAGAAGTGTCCTGAAGAAATTTCAGGAAAGCTGTACTATATATTTTGCTGGGTTTTAGTTGTTAAGAGTGAAAGGGTAAATCCGGTACCAGGAACACTGTCATGGCCAGTAGCAAAGTCCACTTGGGGAGCATCCTAAAAAATATCATGCCTGAGTCCCACCCCACACCAGTTAAATCTGAGTCCCTGAAGAAGGAAAGGAAGAAGTGATTATAATGTATATCAATGTTTGAGAATAACTGGCCCAAAGAGTAATGTTCAATCTTCAATTAAAGGCAAGATCTTTCAGAATTTGCCTCTAGTCTACATATCCAGTCTAGATCTATCTACTCCCTATCAACCCATAACCATCTTTTATCAATTCTAAGCTGAAACCATGTCGTATTTTGCTGACATGAACATGATATTTGAAATCTCTATGCCTTTTCACATATCCTTGCCTTTACCTGTGGTCCTTTCTGGTTCAGTATTTCTACTGGAAGTACTTCCCCTTCAAGACTCAGATAAGTATGTTTGGCTCTGTGGGGTATTTCTTGTTTTAAGAGTCAGGGATTTCTAGGAAAGAATGTTGTATTTGAGAGTAGCAGGACAGCAAACGCAAGGCTTCCTATCTGGTACTGCCATGTACTACAGAGTGAATTTAATCTTTATCATCTGGTTTCCTCAGGTGTAACAAGGTAATAATAAAACTTGACTTGCAGAGGAATAAATGAAATTATACACAGAATGTACTGTAGGGGAGAAAACTTTTCTCCTCTACTATCTCACACTCTCTAGCTGGGCTCAAGAATTAAACTGCCATAAGACAGATTAACAGGAGAAAAGCATACAAATCTGATTTAATAAAACTGTACATGCATACGGATGTCCTCACAGGAAAATGAAGACCCAAGACTTGGGCTAGACCTAAGCGCTTATATATTAGGTTGAACAAGAGAGGCGATTGTGGAAGAGTAACTAATTGTGGAAGATAGGGGTTAGTTTAACAAGGTCTGTAATGATTTCTCTCGGCCAAAACCCCCTTCTCTGGTGATCAGTGTCTTTCCTCCTGGTCTAGGGAGACCGTCTTTCCCAAGGTAGTTTCTTTTCCTGCTTTCAGGAAGAAAAAGGAGGTCAGAGGGCTGTTCTTGCACCTGATGTTTCCCAAGTGCCTTTAGCTCAAAATAATCAATATGCCAAAGCTTGAGGTGGCATGCTCTCAACTCCAGCACCTACCCTCCAACGGAATACTCCCCCCGCACGCCACACATTTCCCTCATAACATTTCCAGCAAAGGGCTACTGCAAACTGCATCTTATCCGTTTACCTCTCTCTTTCCCCCAACTAGACTGTGAGTTTCATAATGACCGAAGCTATTTCCATTTTACCTGTGCCTCCCGTGGACATAAAAGTGCCTGGGATAAGACAGTTTAAATCGACCACAGTTCAGTGAGGAAGGCTTTTCATAGCCTCGGGTTCTGGTGTGGGTGTATTATGTCAGGCATTTACAGGGTGTTGTTGACCCTCACTACCAATTCCCTCTGAACTGGTGGCAATTCACCATCCAGCTGGGGGCAACGTACCATCCAGTCCCTGATAGGAAAGATGAGAAAATCTGACCAAATCCACAAAAGCAGGTGCAGTTTTCACCAGAAAAACCTCCAGAGGACGTTTTCATCGTTGAGTTAAATGACCTGCCAGTCTATGCCGCCCTCTAGGGTGGACTACAGCGCTTTCAAGCATCTCCCCTTCCAGGAAAAAAGGGTAAATGCCTAGGGGGGCCGGAACCGGAAGTGGGGGAACCGAGCTCTCGGGGAGCGGGAGCGCGCACGGACCTCGCACGGCCCCGCCCCTCCAGCGGTTGCCCGGCAACCGGCCCCGGAAGTCGCGGGAGGCGCGTCTGCGGCGGGCGCCGCTCGCGGGCGGAAGATGGCGGAGGGCGGCGGCCCCGGGCCCGGCGAAGAGAGGAGGTCTTCCGGGCCGCGGCCCCCGAGCGCGCGGGATTTGCAGGTGCGGCGGGCAGCGGAGGGACAGCGCGCGGCAGCGGGCGCGGGCGGGGACGGGCGCCGGCAGGTGCGAGTCGCAGGCGGCCTCTGGCCTCGGCAGAGCCTTGGCCGGACCCCACGTGGGGACAGGATCGCGACTCCGGGGCCGCGGGGGTCTCCCCGGGTCGGTGCGTCGCGCGGTGTTGGGTCGTGGGAACAAGTGCCCGAGCCCGTGTCGGGCGCCCATGCCTTGTTTCCCTTCCCCCCCATGTAATGTAAAAAGCGACTGCGGCGGGGTCGGTTGGGTGGTTCACCGGTTGATGCTTCCTTCGTGAGACTTTCGACTGAAGAAAGCTTGACTTGTGGCCGTCGGGAAAGAGGCCATCGCTTGAAAAGTCATGACACGTGTGCTGACTTGTTCTTTGTTGTTTTGGCTGCTGTTTCTGTCTTCTTAACTTCAATATAAGAATGGTTATTTTTCATCAAGTGGCTTTTCTCTTTCAAAGGGTGAACTAAAGCGGTCCCTCCTAGGGCTGTACGGCCTAGTTGTAACAGATCCAGTCTGTAAAGCGTTGCCCATAAGAGACGGGGAAATGAGACTTTGGAATGTTAGGGGACACTGGTATTCACTAAATAGGAGTGCACGAAATCCTGTTTTACCAAATGCTAGCGCCACTCGGGTCCTTTTAGGCTCTTGTTCTGTCTCCTTGTGAGATCATTGATAAAATGTCAACAAGGAAACATCTGTAAGGAGCGGTAACGATAAATAAGAGTGAATCCACAAACCTTGGTAGTTCGGCTGTTGTACAGCCACACCTTCATTCTACGTGTTTGAACAAACATCTTGACCACTGTCCCTGTAACATACTGCTAAGCTCTAGGGCATGAGATAAATAGGACGTCACATCCACAGCCGTGCTGGACACTGTTGAAAGGTATATAAGTGCAAAAGACGTTTCTCCCTTTGGGAAGGCCACAGATTTTCTTTTGAGAAATAGGTCCGAAATACACTTAGTATAACATTTTAAGATGGAGTGTGTTTGGGTGCCAAAATAAGCAGTGAAGAATTTGGAGCCGGGCTCGGTGGCTCAGCCTGTCATCTCGCGCCTTTGGGAGGCTGAGGTGAGTGGATTGCCTGAGCCCGCTGGTTCGAGACCTGCCCAGGCAACTTGACGAGACCATATCTCTACAATAAATTTTAAAAAAAGTAAAATTAGCCAGGTGTGGTATTGCACTCCTGTAATTCTGGCTACTTGGAAGGCTGAGGCAGATGGATTGCCGGAGCCCAGTAGGTTGAGACTGTGGTGGCTAGGAGAGTGCCACTGTACTCTGGTCTGGGTGACTGACTGAGTCTCCAACTCAAAAAAAACCAAAAAAAAAAGAATTTGGAGAATGGAGAGTGTAAGGTTAGGAAGTGAACTCAGTGTAAAATAAATAGTTCCAGTGCACATAGCTGATTCGGTAATACTAAACAGAATTAAGAAAAAAACTATTATCTACCTCATCCATTCTGTTACAGACCAACATCACTGAGAGGCAACATGCGGTATCGGGAAAAAGTTGAATTAATGGTCAGGCTAATTTTGATTTGCCTCTTGGTCCTGCTACTTAGTAGTTGTGTGAATTTAGAAAAAAATGTCTGAACTTCTCTGATCCTCAGTGTCTTCGTTTGTAAACTGAGGGTAGTAGTGGCATAGTGTAAGGATTAAATGAGTGTATCACTGGAACCACTGAGCTCAAGGCTGCAGTAAGCTATGATCATGCTACTGTACCCCAGCCTGTGGGACTAGGTGAGATCCTGTCTCTAAAAATAAATAAGTAAATAGATAAATATTGTCTGTAAAGGGCCTGTGCACAATTATCATATTATCTTGGCTCAGTGCTTGTTTGGCAGTTCTTTGGTTCCGTTCCCTTAAAGGAGAAAAATGCTGTGACTTTCACTGGTTAGTTCATTCTGATGCCATTAAGGGTAGTACAGTACTTTGTAATTTACTGTCCTTTCCCTAATTTAAATCAATTTTATGAAAAGTGAGAAGAGCTTGGGTAAAGACCACCTGATACCTGCAAATATTTTACAGACTTAATTCAGTGGAGTGGGTGACTAATGGTTGGAGACATTCTGGCAGATGTTGCTAATTGTGAGAATGCCTTCATTTGCACCATAAATTAGAAAATAGGGATTTAAAAAAAAAAATCTAACTACTTCTGGTGGGTAGGTCAGTAGGGATATAGCTGATTTCTTTATGAATATGATTTGGTGTATCAAAAACTGTCTAAGTATGGATAAATCTTTCCTTTAGAATTTAATATGAATATGAAGAATTTGCAAAGAAACTTGAAAACAGCCAAAGTGATGACATATCAAGAACTGAAGTATGTATCAAATGTTTGAAGGAATTATGTTCTTCCCAAGTGGTTTCTTGGATATTGATTACTTATGGATTATCCTTTTATTGCTTACTCTAGACATGCTTATATTAAGAGTTACCCAGTTAGTGCAGTTTTCGGTAGATATTTCTTACTTCCCTAATAGTTTGCTCAAAGAGTCTTTCAGGATGAGGAAAGAGGCAGTGTATTACTAATTTAGACAAGCACAAGTACCCCTAAATAAGTGTATCTTAGCTGCCATGCAGTGTAGAGTTTGTCAGCATCTAAATTAGGAGGGATCATTCCAGGTACCACCAGAGGAAAACTGCTTAGTAGTTTCACAAAAGGCCTCCCAGCACTGGGAGCCTCCCACTTTCAAACTGCAGACTCAGGAAAGAGTGGATTTCCTTGGTTCCCTTCATTCTCCGCCCCTCCCCCCACCCCTGAAAATGGGAAATGGTCATTGGGAAAGTTAGGGGTGGGACTGTTAGTGACAAAACTAAACCTAGAAACCTCATCTGTGTAGGAACCTCATCAGTAGTATTTCTGAATTGTTTTCAGAGATGTGTCTCTTTGGTGCCCCTCAGCCATCCACAGAAACATAGTTAATAATTGATTGTATGCTCTGTTCCAGTTTTCCTCCACATACTCTCTTTCCAGATGGGTTCAAATGGAGGGTGGATGGGAATAGGGATGACTTCAGTACCTATTAAGGTTAGGCTTGAGCTTGATGCTAGGTACTGTGAGAAAAGAATTAAACTGTCTGATTGCCAGAAATATCCTAATCTGTAGAATAATATTATTCCATACCATTGGTTCTCAACTTTAGTGTACGTCAGAATCACCTGGAAGGCTCGTTAGAGATTGCTGGGCTCCACCCCAGAGTCTAATTCATTAGGTCTAAAGTGGGGCCTGAGTATGTGCATTTCTTACAAGTTCCCAGGTGATGCGGATATTGTTATTCTATGTAATAGACCATTATTATAGCTTCTAGAATTTTCACTCTAAGGCTGAGAATTCCAGTGCTTCTAGTCTTTTGCTATATACTTGATTTTCCTCACTCAATTACTTGGCTTTCAGTTATTCACATTTCAAATTCTAGAGGAAAGATTATCAATACTCAATTTACATTCTTCATTCTCTGTATTATTGGTTTTGACCAGTACTTCAATTAGTTTCTATCAATTTAAATTACCATTTTCTTTTTTTGGTGTGATATTGTCTGCTATGTTAAATGATATAAATTAAATTTCTTTATAATATTTACTAACGAACCTCTGCATATGATGCCACATCAACTCCCTCTAAATATCACTTATTTTCAAATAAGTTAATGATGTACTATTAATAACTAGGATCTTTCAGCCAGGTAGACTCCCTACTATAATAGCATTTTCCTCATATTCCTATTTTGTTGACATGTGCTCCACATTCCATGGAATCAAAAGGCATTATTTAATTGGAAGCATTTATTTAAATCTTCTTAAAACAGAAAACAGCACAAAACTGTGTAGCAGATATAATCTCCATTTAGAGTCATCTGTCTATATCTCTTTATGTTTATGTTATATTGTAGTCTATACATAATTCAATGTGAATTTGTCTCTTAAGTACTATTAGAAATAATTTGGGAAACTTAAAATCTAGTGGGGGGATAAAATAGCAAAAGAAAACAAGTAATGACAACATAATGTTTAATGTAAATGTCACCGATATTGCAGAGACTCGTCCTGTAATCCCAGTATTTTGGGGAGTCTAAAGTGGGAGGATTGCTTGAGGCCAGGTGTTTGAGACCAACCTGGAAAACCTAGCAAATCCCATCTCTACAACAAAAATTAAAAAATTAACCAAGTGTGCCAGAATATGCCTGTAGTCCCAGCTACTCAGGAGGCTGAACAGGAAGATTGCTTGAGTCCAGGAGGCTGCACTGAGCTATGATCATGACACTGCACTCCAGATTGGGTGACAAGAGTAAGATCCTGTCTCAAAATAAAACCAGATACTAAATTAAAGATGTCATTGGGGGATATCTTGTACTATGAGAATTTCGAAAAGATATTTTGTTAAGAAAATTAGAAAGGCCTTTGAATACAGATGACATTTTCATTGATAAGGCTGAGGTGAGTGGATTGCCTGAATCCGCGGGTTCGAGACCCGCCTGGGCAGCGAGACCTCATCTCTACAATAAATCAAAAAATCAGCCGGGCGTGGTAGCACATGCCTGTAATTCCGGCTACTTGGAAGGCTGAGGTGGAAGGATCGCCGGAGCCCAGCAGGTTGAGGCTGCGGTGGCTGGGAGCGGCCACTGCACTCCAGTCTGGGTGACAAAGTGAGACTCCAATTCAAAAAAAAAAAAAAAAAGAATAGGAGTAGCATGAAAGTTATTTATTCATAGAGCTGAGGTAAAATAATTGGCTCGGGAGGAAATCCATTTAAAAATACTATTTTAAAAAGATTTTAGGCAGGTAAAGTTTCTGAAAACCTCAGACCCAAGCCATCAGTCAAAGTGTGTTTGTATGTACACACGCATGCACATATCTGTGTGTCTGTATTTGATTCTCCTCTTTAGTTTGTTTTTGTTTTTGTTTTGGAGGGGATGAGGTAGTAAAGGAATATAAGTAGATATGTTGATAACAGTGCAGGAAGAAATTAAGTCTTGGGGAAAATGAAACAATGCAAATCATTGTTGATATTTTTTAAATAGTAACTTCTAATGATGGAGTATGTGCTTTGAACTTTACCTCCTACAGTTATTTAAGTCTTCAAACAACCCTCTAAGGTGATTTTTTATAGGCATATGAAGATGTGGAAACTAAGGCCTAGAGAACTCTAATCTGCCTAAGATCACACAGTAAATGCCCAGGTTAGGATTTGAATTCCCTCCTTTTAAATTACAAGGCACTTTTATAATTTGGATTTTAGCAGAATTGTCACATTAGAAATGTGAAAATTATCGTATGGGCTGGGAGCAAGGATAAAAAATAACTAGGGAGTGTAGAATAGAGGTCTTCATTTTTTTTCTTTGTATATATTTTAAAAGTTGACTAATAAAATTTTCAAAGAATCAATTCCCTGTTCTTCTCTTCCTACTGAGTAAAGAAACCGTGGAGGTAGTGTTCATATATCTTGTGCTTCTAAAGGGAGCATTTTATCTGTTTTGTTTTGTTTTTTGGAGGAAAAAAACCCAAAGTTTTTCATTTCAATTATAATTGAGTAGCCATAGGGGCATGTTTTGGGGATGTCCAAAGGTGTAAGAAGTCAGAAAAAATAATACTGAAATTTTTGGATTATTTTTTAAAATTTGATTTCAAGAACAAATATGGTTTTATTTCATTTTGAGAATATCCAACCATACATCCATAATCTACAATGTATAATTTAGATTGATTATATTGCTTTCTAAATGGCATATAAACTATACAATGTCTTGTATTTTTTTAAATTAATTTTCCTAATCTTGATGAAATTTATATGTCCCATAGTCTTTTTTACAGGATACTTTAGAAATTGTTTTATGTGCTTGAATTTTGAAAACTTGAACAGCTCATTCAAATTAAGAGATTTGATGAAAGAAGCTGACATGAGTGTGAAACATGTTCAAGAATTCTTAATAGATTATGGGAGAATGATGTAGGCCCAAATTTGAAAATGGCTTGTTTTCTTATACAGTTTTTGAAACTGTTGAATAGTTCATTGAAAATGATCAAATAATTATTATGACTTAAAGTTATTCTAATATATGTGGCATTTTGGTTAGTTTATAAAACGAGAGATGCGGTGAAAGATGTAGAACCAAAACGCTCCAGAATTTATTTATAAAATATTGAGTATTTTATGTGTTTAAATTTCAGTCATCTTCGAATTACTCTCAGTCTGATGCACTGCACCTATTGAGACACTTCTTCCACTGCTCAAAACAGTTTTGAACTCGTCAATTTGGCTGTCTTTTAGTGCTTCTGCCATTTATTGTTTCACCTCTTCCACATCAGCAAAACATTCTTCTTGGAGGACTTCTTGGGAAACAAAAAAAGTCTCTTGGAGTGAGACTGGGTGAATACGGAGGGTGAGACATGGGGGTCATGCCACTTTTGGTCAAAAACGGGGCTGGACTCGGTGGCTCAGCCTGGAATCCCAGCACTTTGGAAGGCCAAGGCAAGAGGATGGCCTGAGCCCGTGGGTTCGAGAACAGCCTGGGCAACTTGGCAAGACCTCATCTCTACAATAAATAAAAAAATTAGCCAGGCATGGTAGCGCACACCTGTAGTTCCGGCTACTTGGAAGGCTAGGTAGAAGGATCGCCAGAGCCCAGCAGGTCGATGCTGGGGTGGCCATGAGTGTGCCACTGCACTCCAACCTGGGTGACAGTGAGACTCCAACTCCAAAAAAAACCAAAACCAAAACAAAACTGCTGAACACTCAGCATGGTGTGGGCAGGTGCACTTGTAAATCACCCATCATGAAATGGGCCAGTGTGTTGAAAAAATCTCCAAAAGAAAATTTACTGAAGCCGAATGCAGCCTTTCACAACAGCTCTAGCTGCTACACTGATGCTGATGGTTCCTAGAGCAATTACCTAATCTAGGAAGCCTGTACTATAAGGGGCTTGCCCTCTAAAAAATAATTTTCGTTTTTTGGGGTTTTCCCTTGTATTTTGGAAAGGAATCATCTTCTAAAGCAGCAGCCTTCAATTTTTTTTTCATGAAAAGTCAACACTCAATTTCAAGTTAATGTTGTATTTGTCACTTTTAGTTGTATGGAAGAGTTTATTATTAGTGTTATACTTCATAACAAGCTTGTTATTATGTAGTTGGCTTTGGCAGAATTATATGAAGATGAAGTGAAGTGCAAATCTTCCAAGGCTGATAGACCTAAAGCTGCAGTCTTTAAGAGCCCACGAACACCACCTCAACGGTAAGTTTTGTTTTATTTTAAAAAGAAATTATAATCCTTTTTAGTTCACTAATTCCAAATTCTTTCAAATGGCCTTTTCTAAGGTTTCTCCAATAATTTTTAAAAATTGCTATTTACTTCCAAGATGAAGGCAGATTTGGTAAAAATACATACGATTATTTCTTAAATATTATTTAAGTACTATAAATAGAAGAAACAGCATTTAGGTACTATTCCTAAAACTTTTACAGTCAGAAAGCTACAAAAAAAACCTATGGGAAAATCACCTTAAAATGATTTTGCTAAGTATTATATCCAGAATACTGTTTTTCTTGGGCATAGTGGTTCTTTAATATTTTTCAGTAATAGGGCACATTGAAGATCTGATGAAAGCCAGCCTCTCTCCTCCCAAAACAACATTTATTGGCAAGTTTGTCAGTCATTGTTAAGGGTTCATGTGTTTCTTAAAGGCCATCCACGGAGCTTCTGTGGGTCTTTCATACTCCATTTAAGAATCTTTGACTTCTAGGTGGGCAGAGTGGCTCATTCCTGTAATCCCAGTGCTTTGAGTGGCTGAGGTGGGAAGACTGCCGGAGGCCAAGAGTTTGAGACCAGACTAGACAACATAGCAAGACCTCATGTCTCTACAGAGAATAAAAGAAAAGAAAATAGCTAGACATTGTGGTGCTCGCCTATAGTCCCAGCTACGTCAGAGGCTGAGGCAGGAGGATTGCTTAAGCCCAGGAGGTCAAGGGTGCAGTGACCCAAGATTGTGCCACTGCACTCCAGCCTGGGCAACAGAGTGACACCCTCTCTCAAAAAATAATAATAATCTGTGACTTCTGGAGTCTGTCTCTGCCTCTGTTAGGTGATGACTTGTATAGCATGTGACCTCCTATATAGTAACTGGTGTTAAAATCCCTGAACCATTAAAAAAAAACAGTGAGAATTTAAGAGATGAGAATTGGGTATATTTTATTGCTGTAAGTTTTCTTATTGCTAGGAATATTTTTATTAACAGCCCTTTGATACTGCAAATCTCATCCCTGGGAAGAAACTTGAATTTTCCCGTTATATCTCATTCTCAGAAAGTCTGTAAGCTTACCAAAAGTTGAAAAATTCACTAGAAATTATTTTATTTTGTTTCTCACTATTTCACATTTTTTATTTATAATTTCTCCTATTGTTATTTTACAAATTTTTAAATCCATAGAAAATTAAAAGACTAATAGAGTGAATAAATACTATATATGCTTCACTTGTGTTCACCAGTTGTTAACATGTTATAACATTTACTTGTGCACATGCGTGTGCAATTCTTTTTTCCTCAACTGTTTGAAAGAGAACTGTAGCCATCATGACACTTTACCTCTAAATACTTCAGCATGCATCTTCTAAGATTAATCACATACTCTTTTATAACCTTATTGTGCAGTAACTTCATAATATCATTTAATATAAAGTCAGTAATCAGATTATAGCCTTTTGTTCGGATAAAGGATTAACCAGGGCCATGCATAACATTTGATTATCCTGTTTTGAATTTTTGAATCCAGAACATTCTCCCCATCTTGTTGTTGATTGTTTTTAGCTCAACTACATAGTCTAAAGTTTATTACATTGGCTTTGTTGAAGCATCTCGGCCACGTCTTCTAAAATGTCCCCATTCTAGTTCATTGTTTCCTAATAATTAGATTCTTGTAAAGCATTTTTGTTAAGAATGCTAGATAAGTGATATTGTCTGCTATTTTATGACTTAAGGAGTCATATAATTTCAGGTTTTTCCACCATTAGTGATATTTTCACGTGGTTATGTGCTAATCATCACATCACTGCATTGTCTTTTGTAATCAGGTTGGTATCTTGGCTCTATTTGAATATTTAATTTTTCCTTTTATTTAATATTATATAAATATTTATTTACTTACTTATTTTTTATTTTTTTGAAAGCAGGATTTATTGAGAGGGCAGAAAAGCTCCCCAGTGAGAGGGGACCCGAGGGGGTTGCCCACATAATTATTTTTATAAATATAAAGTATTTATATTTTTATATATAAAAGGTATATTTTTAACTGCTTCCTTAATTTGTATATTCTTTCAAGTTTTGAAAGCACTTACATATTTTTATACTTAAGTTTTAGTCATTCACAATTTGGCCGTTGGTTGCCCAGATTGGCATATGTTGAATGACTTAATTTGCTCTTGTTGTAGCAAATCAAAATAATTGAGTTCTTATAATAAGATGTAATATATTAATATTTTCCTTGCTTTTCAGAAATAATTGCTAAGATATTTTGCCTCTTGTATGCTATCTGAAAGTGTTGTCTTTAGTAGTTGTAATTTGATAATCCATTCTTAAGGATTTTGTGCCATACTTTGATCTCTAGAAGTATAAGTATGGTGTTTTCTGACAGTAAATATGTACTGCCATTCTGATATCATATGCCTTATGGACATTTACCAAATTTCATTGTATTTTACTGATTTGTTTGGTACAGAAAGCAGTGCTTATTTTCATGGTTTACCTCCCTGGCAATATTAGATATCCAAGCCATTTTCTCTTTATTGTCATTTTAAGTCAAGATATTTTCATTATCTTAGACTCTAGACATAATAAGCTCTATATGTTTAATTTATAAGAGGAGGTACATAATCTGCAAGAAAGACCCTCAGAATATATAATCTGATGCTTGTTTTAACATATTCATATATGAAAGGTTACATATCACAAACAACCTAAATTATATGGCAGTACTGTTTTGGGAATTGAATGAAATAAAGAATATAATGTGCCTAACACAGAGTTGGTACTTGGTGGGGCCTTAAAAGATTACTAGGATTTAGATAAAGCACAGAAGACAAGGAACAAAATTCAGAAAATGAAGAGGCACGCAGGAGAAAATAACCAAAATAACCAGAGCAATCAGAAAAGGAACCAGCAGAACTTTAGTAATCTAGTGGCAAATAAAGTTGGGTGAGTGGGGGTGCAGCCAGGAAGTGTTTCGTGGGCATGGGACCTTTGCTGTCACACAGGACCTTACTGTTAGAAGGGTTCCATTCTTGCTTTGATGCTTTGCCGTTACTGTCTGAAATTCTTAATAAATTTTGAGCAAGGAAACTCACATTTTCATTTTGCACTGGGTCCCATAAATTATGTTGCCTGTCCTGGATACATCCTTGAAAGCCAAGAAAAGGAGTTGCACCTGTGTAGAAAGCAGTGCCAAGCCAGTATGCTTTAAAATGTAAATGTAATGAGAAAACTATAATATAGCATTAAAAACATTGGTGCAAGAGATAGACATGCCTCAGTTGTAAAATTTTTTTCTCTATGTTCTAATAAGGTTTCATCAATGGACAAGTTATTTAAATTTAAGTTTTCTCACCTGTAAAATGGTGATAATACCATGATTATGGTTTAAGTTAACATATAGTCATCTCTTGGTAAATATTAGTTGTTATTATATCCTTTTAGGAAAATAGGATAGACAATACTACATATAATTAACGGCAATAAAAGAACAGGATAAAGAGGCAAATAAATCAAGGAGATGACAATTGAGGTCGTCTGAGGAATGAGGTGACGAAACTCTGGATTCAGGTGGTGTGAACGGAATGGAAGGAAAGGGTCCGTTATGGAATACTTTCAAGGAATTCACTGTCGAAACTTGATGACATGGGATAGAGTAAGTGTGATGGGAAGAGAGAACGCTTGAAGGTTTTTAATTTGAGATACAGGGGAAAATATGGTCATTAATGGGAGAGTTCATGTGTGGAATATAGCTTTAGTTTTGGAGATGACGAACTTGTTTCGAGTAGACTTATCCAGTAGGTGCTTTCAAATTCAGGACAGGACCATAAATAAGAGGATTGTCAAAATATACATACAAGAGATATCTGTATAGAGTTACCTTTGGAAGTGGATAAGCATTTTGATGATGAAAAGAATTTAAATAGAGTAGAACAGGAGACAAGAATATAGACATACTTAATTAGGCCTGTAAAGTAGAAAGAAAACTCAGTAAAATAAAGGAGGAATCATTGGATATCATTGGGCAAAGAAACAAGCAATGAATTTGGTATTATGAAACTCCAGGAGAGACAGTTCAAATATGAAGTGAGAAAAGAAGAAGACTAGGCTTAAAAGGGTCAAACATTTCAGAAAGTGGGCAATAACAGAAAAGTATTTGGGGTTTGACAATTAGAAGGCAACTGAGAATCTTTGAATAAAATAGATTGAGCAGGGAAAATGGGAGTAAAAATCTTACCGAAGGGAGTAAGTGCATGGCAAGTATGGGCACCAGATGCAGATAATAGGTTGAAGGTTTAGGTAATCATTAGGAGCCAGAGAGATTGACAAAGGAGAGTGAAGTCTTTAATTCATGTTTATCTTCAATTGTCAAATAATGCCAGGTTCATGAAATAAGAATTATTTTATTCTTATTACTGCTTCTCTGAGTGGTTCCCTATAAATTGACATCAGTAGAAGCACTTAATGAAAGGTTACAGTGATCACATTATTGCTGATGTAATTAATGGGACATTAAAATCTGCTTATAAAAATGTTATTAGTATAAGGACAAAAACAAATCTTGACAGTTTAAACATCAACTCCTTCAGAAGTTTTAAAAAAATAGAAAAAAGTTCAGGTAAAAATGGAACTGTAAGTTTCAAAACAATATATCAGATGGTTTAATTTTGCTTGTGTTTTCCCTTATTTAGGTAAAGGTAGTAATAGTTTTCTTTTCATAAATTTTAACTAGTCAGTTTACAAAGAATAGTTATTGTGTCTCCTTGAGGATGAATTTATTCATTCAGCAATTTTAGCTGTATCAGTTACTCTGACTATTGCTGGCATTGTAAAATGTGGTGACTTTGACTTCATAGAGTTTAAAATCTAACAAGATGGCTAAATAAGTGAAATAAACAGCTAATAGATATAAAATTGTCCTATTTGTACTATGTTATATTTATGCCTTTACTATTACTTTGCCTGCTATTAATATTGCTACTACTTAAATTTATTCTAAAATTGCGGATTTCTTTTATTAATTGATAATGGTTTTTAAAAGTATTGTAATTTATATTAGACTCTAAGAAGTGAGGATTGCATGTTGTAATATCTGGGTCAGTATCTAAAATAAAAAGAAAATATAACTAATAAGGGAAGTAAAACAATAGTTATTTGACTAACTCAACAGAAGACAAGCAAGCAGAGAATAAGGAACATAAAGCATAATTTGATTTTAAACACATACTCAACTATATCAATAGTTACATTAAGGCTGGGCACGGTGGCCTACGCCTATAATCCCAGCACTTTGGGAGGCTAAGGCAGGAGGATCACTTGAGCCCAGGAGTTCAAGACCAGCCTGGGAACATAGCAAGATCTTATCTCTCAGAAAATTTTCTAAAATTAGCTGGATGTGGTGGTACATACCTATAGTCCCAGCTACTCAGGAGGCTGAAGCAGGAGGATCTTGAGCCCAGGAGTTGGAGGCTATGGTGAGCCATGATCATGACACTGCATTCCAGCCTGGGTGACAGAGCGAGACCCTGTCTCAAAAAACAAAATAGTTATATTACAAACAAATGGTTAAAAAAATCTGCTTAAAGGACAGAAAGATAGGCAGGTTGAATGAAAAAAGATTTTGTGCAGCTTATGAAAGGAAAATGTTAAATATAAGGACACAGAGAAATTGAAAATAGAAATGTACCATGCAAACACTAACCAAAGAAAGCAGATGCAGTTAAACTAATAATAGATGAGACAGTCCTTCAGGCAAGAAGCACTACTACTGAAACTGAAGAGGAGTCATTTCATAGTGAAAAAATGTCAGTTCTATCTCCAGAAGATAGAACAATTCTAAATTTAGTAGCATTGTTTAAAATATATAAAATGTAAATCACAACATTTATAATTTTTAAAAGTACACAGTACTCTGAGAATACAGGGATCAGATTAATCTGATTTTAAAGGAACTACAGAAAACCTACAGTGAGAAGCATACTTAACAATAATAGTGAAAGATTTTCTTTGGAGTTGGGAACATATCAATGGTAGTACTTGATAAGCTGTTACAAGGAACTGAGGGAGGACACAGGCAAGCCAGTTATCATTCTGGATGCTGAACTTGCTGTTAGAATCTCTGCAAACTCAGTGAGAAAGCATAAAGGAATAATTTCCTATTTAATCTTTTTCTTAATCCCATATGTTAAAAGTTAAATATTTTCACAGAAGTCACAGGAATGCCTCTTTTTAAATGAAAGTTATTTCGTAAAACTATGTAGGTTTTTACTCTAAAGTAGTTTATGTCTGTTATTCTAAGTTTTTATTCATGAACTATAATGTTTAAAGGTTTTGTTCAAGTGAACGTGAATACAGTGGATTACATATAGTTCGGCCTTCACCTGGGAAAATTGTGAATGAACTTTTCAAAGAGGCAAGGGAACATGGGGCTGTCCCTCTAAATGAAGCCACAAGAGTGTCCAGTGATGACAAATCTAAGGTCAGTGCTCAGTTTTAAAACTCAATATACTATTACTATATTTGTTCTCCTCTATTTTTAAATATTATTTATAACATTGTTTTTCTAACTATATTTTTGTTTTAAATGTTTGTTTTATTTTTGTTACTCTTCTATGAATAATTGAAAGATGAGGCAATTTCTTGAATTTCTATCCAACTTTTTAATTTACCTTTTAATTTTGAAATAATTATAGATAAACAGGCTCTGCAAAAAGAATATAGAAGGGTCATGTGTACTTTTCATCCAGTTTCCCCCAGTGATTACATCTTACATGATTTTTTTTTTTTTTTTTTTTGAGTTGAAGTCTGACTCTGTCTCCCAGGCTGGACTGCAGTGGCACGCTCACGGCCAACGCAGCCTCGACCTGCTGGGCTCAGGTGATCCTTCTGCCTCAGTCTTCCAAGTAGCTGAAACTACAGCACACGCTACCATGCCTGGCTAATTTCTCGATTGTAGAGACAAGGTCTCGCCAAGGTGCCCAAGGTGGTCTTGAACTCCTGTGCTCAGGCAGTCCTCTCACCTCTACCTCCCAAAGTGCTGGGATTATAGGCGTGAGCCACCACCAGGAATTTGAGATTGGTGTGTGTATGTAGTTCTGTGTCATTTTGCCATGTGTAGATCATGTGTAGATTTGTATAATCACCGAACACAAAAGAAATGCTATTCCATCCACATGAAGCTCTCCCTCATGGCATACCCCTTTGTAGTCCATACCAACCTCCCTCTCTCCTGCCATACCTAACCTATAGCCAGCACTGATCAGTGGTGGCTATAATTTTATGGTATTGAGAATGTTATACAAATGGAATCATATAATATCTGACCTTTGGGGAATAGCTTTTTTTCACTTGGCATAATGCCCTTGAGATCCTTCAAAGTTATTGAATGTTATCAATACTTTGTTCCTTTTTAATTCCTGAGTAGCATTTCATGGTATGGACATATCATAGTTTGTTTAACCATTTATTTGTTTAGGGACATTTTAGTTGTTTCCTGTTTATTAAAAATAAAACTGCTATGAGCAATCATGTACAGATTTTTTTCATTTCTGTGGGATAAATGCCAAGGAGTGCAATTCCTGGGTCATATATTAAGTTATATTTAGTTTTTTAAGAAACTACAAAACTATTTTCCAGAGTGATTGTGCCACTTTAAACTTTTGCAGTGTTTACAAGAGCCAGTTTCTCTGCATCATTGCTAGCATTCGGTATTGTCACTATTTTTCATTTTAGCTCTTTTGATAGATGTGTAATGATAACACTGGTTCTAATTTGCATTTTCCTAATTCTTAATGGCTAGTGATGTTGAACGCTTTTCATTTGCTTATTTGCTATTATTATCCTTTTCAGTGAAATGTCTCTAAATGACTTTACCCTTTTTCTAATTGGATTGTTTCTTTGTTACTTTGAGAGTTTTTTATATGTTTTACTAGATATGAATTCTTCGTCACTTACATGATTGGCAAATATTTTCTCCCAGCCTATAATTTGTATTTTTCTTTTCTGAACAGGGTTTTTTACAGAGCAAACTGTTTTAAATTTTTCTTGGATTCCAGTTTACTCATTTTTATTTCTTTTATGGATCCTGCTTTTGGTGTCTTGTCTAAGAACTTTGCACTTACTGTAGATCCTAAAGATTTTCTCCAATGTTATCTAGAAAAATTTTATGTAGTTTTACATTTAAAGCTCTGATCCATTTTGAATTGATGTTATAAAAGATGTGAGATTTACATCTTTTTTTTGATTACGGATGTCCAGTTGCTTCAGCTTGACTTATTGAAAGGCTCTTCTTTCTCCACTGAATTGCTTTTGTACCTTTTAAAATTTATTTAGAACTTAGCGAATTTTAACTCACTTGCTATGTATTTTAGTCATTTACAGGTGGAGGATACAGATTGGGTAATTCCTTTTGTAAGCGTTCGGAATATATCTATGGAGAAAACCAGCTGCAAGATGTAGGTACAGTCATCAAAATGAAAAAGTATAAATATTTGCCTCTAGTTACTAAAACTTTTAAAATTAGAAATTAATGGTATAAATATAATATTTTTGTAGTTGCATGTTGAACATGAGTTAAAAGGACCAATGTATAAGTTTCATTGTCAGTTTCTATGTTTTGTATCTCAAGTATGCCTTGTACTTAGAGAGTCATAATTATTTGTGGAAAGAATGTGGAATTTACTGTCAAAATGAACTTATAGCTGGGCATGGTGGTATGTACCTGTATTCCCAGCTACTCCAGAGGTGAGGTAGGAGGATTGCTTGAGCCCAAGAATTAGAAGTCAGCCTGGGCAACAAAGTGAGACTGTCTCTTTACCCCCTCCCCCCCAAAGGTTTAAAAATGTACTTATATATATTTTAATTATTGTTATAAATGGTACATTGTCATAATATAAAGTAAGCTGAAGTGTAAACATAGAACACCTAAAGTAATTTTTTTTCCATTGCCTTTTGAAATTTCGGAGTTTCAGTTTTATTTTAAACATTTTTAGTTTCTTAAAAGGCCACTGGAAATTCTGTCTTGCCCTTTGCCATGAATATTTAAGCTTTGTATCAGAGAAGAATATGGATGCAGATAAAGGAAAAGGGGCAGTGAATATTCTCATTGCTTTCGTTTTCTAGTAAACCACCAGTAATTGTACTTCAAGGCCAGGGTCCAGCTACAGGATCTTTGATATTTATAACTATTGTCAATTTGTTAAGCTAAATACAAATCATCTAAGCAAACACACATGGTTTTATTTATGTCTTTAACTATGAATGAAGAATAGTACAAATAATTGCCTATTTTAAATTTATCATTTAATATGTTGTGAGATATCACATTTGGAACTTAAAATGTTTGGGGGAGATGTATTCTGATATATATCTTTTTTTCTATGCCATAAAGGTTCAGGTTTTGCTTAAACTGTGGAGCAATGGTTTCAGTTTAGATGATGGAGAATTGAGACCTTACAATGACCCAACGAATGCTCAGTTTCTGGAGTCTGTTAAGAGAGGGTAAGATGTATTATTTGTATTCTATTTGTTACTTAGAAGGGGACTGCTTTTATATTAGCAGACTGCTGATCAGTTGTGCGCTATTGGTTTTCAAGAATTGGTTCCTGAAATATAAGACATAAGTGGTTTCGAGGGGACAGATATTCTTAAGTATATAAAAGGTATATTGCTATCTGTAAGTCACTGGTTCTTAACTTTTTGGGGTAGGGGCATTAGACATTGGCCTCTCTTAAAATCTGATCAAACTGTGGACCCAACTCCCAAGAAGAAGCATCTTAATGTAATAATCAGTGAATTGACTAGTATGTAGCTGCCCATCCACTAAGTCACTGTCCTGCTTACTGTTGACAGGGTGACTCATTGCATGTATGCCTGAAATTCAGCAACTTATGTTAGAAATCTTTTAAAGTGGCATTAACTGCTGGCAGAAGATGTCAAAAGGTTAGTTTGAAGTTATGATTTGTGAAAGTAAACCAGATATTCAGTGTTCTGACCCATGTGAAGAACATCATATCTTACCAGCTCTTCTTGCTATTAGATGAGAAATCAAGTGTGATTTTTCTATGATAATAAAAGCTTTTCTGCATTATGATTTCACAGTGGGATTAGGATTACTTCTAAGTAGAAATGTAACTGGAGATATAAGGTTGATCATAAACTAGGAGATTAAGTAGCACAAAGAGACTAGAGCTATATACACAACCAGATTTTTATATGTGTGTGGTTATACTTTATAAAGGAATTGAAAGTGGAGTTTTTCCAAGTAATGAATTATGTCTAGGGAGAGTGGCTGATTGGAGTGGAGATTAAGTTCTTTGGAGTTGAAGTATCCAAGGTACTCTGAAGGAAAGGTATTTTAGAATACTAATTAATATATCATGAGTTTTGAATGTAATTTCTGCACAAATAATACAGGATACCCCCCAAAGAAGAAAAAAAAAGTCAAGAAATGCTATAAGCATTATAATGAAGTCATTGAGAAAGATGGAGAGCTGTCCTTGGAGGCAGAATATGGTAGTAACAAATATAAGATATAATAGTTTAAGTCAATGCTGTGGACTTGGAGACCTACAGAATCACTGAAGAGTGCTGAGAACAAGTGGGTGGGAGAGTATTCATCTGCTAAGTGAAAACCAACATGACTGTTGAAATTGATGCTAATTTCAAGATTATGGAAAATAACATAATGATGAATGTACTATTATATAGATATCTAATTTATTGTTAAATTAAAATGGTCCATATACTTTGTAGGCCAATCTAATATTTAAACAAACATAGTATATTAAAAGGATTTGAGCCATACCAAATAACGAATAAGAAGAGTTTTAGAAAAGACTCCTTGAAAGAAAAAGACTGGTGTCAGCTGGTGATGCTCAACTGCAAAGATTCTTTGTCACCGTTTTATAATATTTTGTTACACTATTCTCAAAGAAAAGCTCATAGATAATATAATCTATGTACTTTATTTTCCAAAAAATATATTGAAGAAATAAAGGAATTTATCATAAATGATGCATATTTTAATTTATAATTGCTTAGGTATGATCACAGTAAGTGATCATAACACATAAGAAGTAGTCAGTTTGTGCCTCTGTGCAGTCTTGCACTTCTCATGTGAAAAATATGAGACATATAAAGACAGTATAATGAAGTATGTGAAGTCATTAGCTTAATTACTACAAGTGACATTGCATTCAAGGGTTTGATAACACTTCAGATGAAACAAAGTGCAGCCTTTCTGCAGCTTGCATGACAGTGTGTTCCTGGAAACTTGAAGGTATACTAATATGATAGACCCCAAAATGTTTTCTGATTATACATAAAATGTTTTTTGGTTATATGTAAGTTAGGTTTTAGGCTCACACATCATAAACAGTGTTGTCATCCACATAATTCTCGAGAAGATGCTTCATTGCTTCATGATTCTGTGGAACCCAAGACAAGTCTTCATTGTGCAAGCATAGCCCCTTGTTGCAGTTCCTCTCACCTCCTCCACCCTGACACGGAACAGCAGCAGTACTCATGAGTCACCCCTCAGTCAACAATGTGCATCAATTTTCAGAACTTTTTCCAGGGGGTTTATAAGTAAATGTCCATATTAACTATTTATCGTCATAGGGATTTTCTAATGCTAATTATGGTATAAACTGTTATCTTACAATTTAACTTTCTGTATTTCAGAACCACCCCAAGATCATTGTGACAGCCAAAACATCCCTATGTTGAGAACCACTAAGGAATAATATGAGATAACTTTAAGAAAGAAAGATCTATAAGATCTTTCTATAAGATCATCATAGAAATTTTAATATTATAATTTAAACAAAACTTGCTGTTTCCCAGAGATGACTTGAGTACAGTAATCTCAACAGTGTCGTCTAATTTTTGAAAAACTTAATTAAAACCTTTTTTCCCCTTTTGAAAAGAGAAATTCCCCTGGAGCTTCAGCGACTGGTTCATGGTGGCCAAGTGAATTTGGATATGGAGGATCATCAGGATCAAGAATACATAAAACCTAGATTGAGGTTCAAAGCTTTTAGCGGAGAAGGACAAAAACTTGGAAGGTAAAAATCCTAAAATGAGAAAAAATATTTGTCTTTGTTTAACATGAATTTTTCTTGGAGAGTAAAAATTGGAAAATGACTTCTGAGGTAAAAACCAAAATATGAACCATGAAGACCTTGCTGGTGGAATTAGATATGCAAATCTGGGTATATTATTAGTAGCCTAATAATTAGATAGGAATTACCATATTTTTGACTTTCAGAGCACTTTACATGCATTAGCTCACTTAATCTTCACAGCTCTTTGACACAGATACTGTTATGACTCTGTTTTGCAGATGCAGTGATCTGCTCAAGATGATTGAATTTACAAATGATTAGTGTGTGGGATTCAAACCCCAGTACTCTAGCTCCAGAGTCCGCTTTTCAGCACTTTGCTGTATGCCTCTTTCAGGCCACCTGGTTTCAAAAGGGAAAATTGTAAAGTGTTGTTGATTAGATAAAATAATGGATATCTTACTTCACAACTTAAGCGCATGCATGTCTGCCACAAGTAATTGTGAAGCTCTTGCAGCAGAAGCAATTTGCTTAGCTTAGTGATTTATAGTAGTTTTTAAGCAACCCGACTTTCTTCAAGTTATGGAAGCCCGATATGTAAAGTGCATGTCATACTTGAGCTCTTCTGAGTGTAAGTAAAAGAGGGGAGGCTGAGGTGAGTGGATTGCCTGAGTCCGCGGGTTCGAGACCCTCCTGGGCAACTTGACAAGACCTTATCTCTATAATAAATCAAAAATTAGCCAGGCGTGGTAGTGCACACTTGTAGTTCCAGCTACTCGGAAGGCTGAGGCGGAAGGATCGCCGGAGCCCAGCAGGCCGAGGCTGCAGTGGCCGGGAGCGGCCATTGCACTTCAGTCTGGGTGACAGAGTGGGACTCCAACTCAAAAAAAAAAAAAGAGGGAATTGTCTCTGAGTCATTCCCAAAGAACCCCTAGGACTTTGAAGAGGTCAATTTAAAAAATAACGTGGACCAGGCTCAAAAACCGCCTGAAATCCCAGCACTTTGGGAGACCAAGGCAGGAGAATCTCTTGATCCCAGGAGTTCAAGACCAGCCTAGGCAGCATAGCAAGACCTCATCTCTACCAAAAAAAAAAAAAATTAACTGAGTGTGATGGTGTGTGCTTATAGCCCCAGCTACTCTGGAGGCAGAGGTGGGAGGATCACCTTAGTCTAGGAGGTCAAGGCTTCAATGAGCTGTGATCGTGTCACCGCATTTCATTCTAGCTCAAAAAAAAAATTGATATGCATGGCAGAATATATGCGTGAACTCCTTTATAATAGCTGTGGCTTAATATAATCTTCATAAATCTTGTAGAATATGTTGGTGAAAGTTATTGTCTACTTGTCTGTACATTATTGCGGGTGATGTACACATTGTCAATGTTTCCAGCGTATCATTTTGTACACCATTTTTCCTGGGCTTCTTCAATTGCCTTGTGCACATTGGTTGTATATTCCCCTTTCATTTCCCAAGATAGAAAAGAGTTAATATCAATTCTTTATTTGTCTTTGGTATCTCTACTGTCTGTGTCCTTTTCTCCTGATAGAGACTGATTTCTGGAATATATAGAGAATATGGGAATATGTGTTAATTTGGTTATGTTGGGACCCAAACCCTCAGTGCCCAATCGCAGATCTGCTTGGATATTTTCTCCCTCATCTCTCTTTCCTGCCAGCACATGTCAGGCCTCTCTTGAATTGTACTATTTCTTCTCTCCTCTTGTTATAACAATGACCTTTAGATAGATAAATTGGTGATTGATATTTTTTAAACTTCCTCACACTTATTTATTGAGATTATGATTTTAAAGTAAAATATAAAATGCCAAATCATCTCTTTGCTATGTATGCATTGTTTATTATTTAAATTATGACCAATAATTAATGATAAATAAAAATGCCCTTTTTTTTTTTTGAGTTTGAGTCTCACTCTGTCGCCCAGACTGGAGTGCAGTGGCTGCTCTCGGCCACTGCAGCTCGACCCGCTGGGCTCCGGCGATCCTTCCACCTCAGCCTTCCAAGTAACTGGAACTACAGGCGCAGGCTACCACGCCTGGCTAATTTTTTTTGATTTATTGTAGTGATGAGGTCTCGCCAAGTTGCCCAGGCATGTCTCGAACCCACGGGCTCAGACAATCCACTCACCTCAGCATCCCAAAGCACGGGATTACAGGCTGAGCCACCAAGCCCGGCTAAAATGCACATTTTTATTAGTGCAAGTATAGTGAATCTAGGATTGAAATGGAAGGTTGCATAAAGGAAAGGCAGCTGAGAAGAGCTAGTGATGATAACCTGCAAATTCAACTCATGAAAATAAGGAAATTATCTGATAATAGTATCTCACAAAGGTCAGTCTTTTTTCTTACAGAACAAATAGAGAAAATGACAAAAAGAAAGGAGAAACTGATGGAACACAGTGGCAGAGATCAGTAGTGGTGGTAGTACTGTGTTAATCACTAGTCATATTAATTAAGGTTTTTATTACAGAAAACAGAATCTACTTGCTGGTTTAAGTAAAAAGGGTTTTCTTACAGGGTCTTAGGTAATTTATAGAATTCTTGGAAGAGACAGTAAACCAAGCTTTCCTTAGTCAGGAGAAACAAACACAACAGAGGAGTGTTGTAGAGAGAATACCACCTGTGTTCACCCCCATCAGGTGTTCAGTGCCCACAAAGCTAGGAACCAGATACTAGAACTTTCTGTCATAGAACAGTCAGTTTTCACCACCTTGGTAACCAAAAGAACTGCACAGCTTCCATTCTGAAATGCTTACTTTCACCATACAAGTATGTATTTGTTTGGTGGAAAGGTAGAATTGTTTAAAATCCTAGCAGCAAGGGAATCTGAGAGAGGTAGCCTTTAGAATTATCCAAGTCTTAGTGTATAGAAAATTTGCACTAAAAGGAGATTAGTGTGGTGATGTGAGCCTTTGTGTACATCAACCCAAATGTTGAATAAGTGAATATCACATATTCTAAAAAAGCAAAGAATTGCATAGAACATTTTATGCTAAACACTTTACATTAAGAGATGTACTAAAATAACAGTTTAACAGTTAACCTTTATCTATTTAGAAAGTAACTTTTTTAAATGACTCGTTTCTCAAGGTTTCCAGACAACTATTTACGGAACAGAGAAAAAGAAACAAGTAAGGCAGAAATGGAAATGATCTGTTTTCTTCCATAGATGGCAGTCTAATTACAAATAGGACATTACACAGATAGAAACTAACTTAACTTTTTATTTTGATATATGAACAGTTATGGGCAAACCTAAATGCAGTAAAAATAGTACTTAGTGCCCTGACATAATATAATAGGAGCAAGAAATCATAGATGTAAAACTGCATATTTACAATGGTAGATCAGACTGTATTACTGAATTAAAATTAGCTTAATGAGCTACAATAGTGCCTAGCAAGTAAAAGACCAAGAAAATTGCAAAGTCATTTTTGTTAGGTGGGACTGTAGAATAGACCTTCATTGTAGGCTTTTGAGCTGTCATGTATACTTGGAAAAATTATGATTTGAAGTAGATGTGCTTAAGAACAGCTGCTGTCTGTTATACTAGACGAAGGCTCTTGTCTCTAAAGTCTAACACCCCTTCCTTCCGTCTTTCCTTCCTTCCTTGCATTGCATTCCTTCCTCTCCTTCCTCATTCCCGCTGCTGGGTAGTCCCTTGCCTGACTGCAGCCATGGAGTTGTCTGCCCCTCTGCGGCTCAGTGCTGCTGGGGACAACCTCAGCTAGGCTGGGCATGCAGTGCTTCCCCTCCCTCACTCTCACAGGGCTGACCCCAGATACCCCCCGCTTCACCGAGCCCCAGGTTCTGTCCCTGGCCTTACCAACAGCAGATTTCTTTGCTTCCAGCTTCACCGAGAAAACAGAAACTGACAGGAATCAACTTTCTTAATAAGTTCTCTTAGTCTCCAAATTTATGAATGGCTGTTTCCATCCTTACCTCCCTCGTTAAGTTTGAAGAAGAGGATGTTTCTCTTTCTGTCTTAGGGAATTACTCACAACCCATATCCTTTTCTCCCTTTTGCCTGGAAAACTTGTTTTATCAATTAATGTCCCTCTCTTTTCTTAAAAAAATTATTTATTGATGTAAAATTTGAAAAAACAATATGTAAAAATGTCACTATGGTTTAATCAATTGAATAATAAAGGGAAAGATGTATGTAGCAAACAGATATGACTTTGAAAGCTAAATATTAAAGTTAATGTAACTTTTTAAGATGGTTTGTTTATACCACACTACCAACTTGTCCACTACATATCTCTGAGGCTGAACATATCTTTTAATCTCAGTTCTTTTATGATTAAATGATGTGACTGTTCTAAATTATGATGAAAGTGCATCATTTCCAGCTCTTAAATGTCTATTCCATATACATAATTTCATTTTAACATACATACCTTTTATTTTAAAACCACATGAAAGATCTTTTCTTACCTAGTTTCCCTACCTTATGCTTTATTTTTATGTATTGAGAAGTGGCCTGCCTGGTCAGAATCTACTTTAAACAGAAAGCAGTGGATTACAGAAATAGCATGAGCCGGTTTTAGGTCCTGGAAAGAGCCCCAAATAAATGTCCGCTTGCTCATTTATCAACAGATAACTTCCTTCCAGGGTTATTGTTAGGATAATAATTATAATGCTACTAGCCAACTTGTCAGTAGCGCCAGCTATATAAAAGCATTGTTTGAAGTTCATTTACTAATTTAATTTTTATAACAATGCTACTGTTGTCTCTGAGGCACAGTAAGGATAAGTGACTTGCCCAAGGGTCATATATCTAATAAACGGTGGAGTCAGGATTGAAACCAGATAATCTGGCTCCAGAATCCATGCTGTGAACCATTAGACAATACTGCCTCCACACAGGGTGACGTAAATGGGTGAATCATGGAGGTGGTGATAATGATGGCAATAATGTTATACCTGGCCATATGTGAGGCAGAAGAGGGCCTCTGCATTCGGTTTCCTGTGTCCCTTTCCTTGGATTTCCACCTCCCATCCCCCACCTTGTGTAGGGGACACCAGACTGACACAGTAAACTCGCTTGGCAGTGCATCTGTTCAAGCCCTCAATTCCAAACTTGAAAATAAATTTTTCTTTATTATAAGTCATCATTTTCTCCTTTTTCAGGTCTTTCACATATATATTCTTAAATTGATTCTAAATCTATGTCAGGAAGTAGCTAAAGAAAGGAGAAGTGTTAGCAATAAGTACTGGTTAATTTTGTCACTTAACCATGATAACCGTGAACTCCAGGAAAGAAACTTTTTGAATGGGAGTAAGAGTTCTTATGAATTAAGTTTACATTGGACTGAAACCCAAATACTCATAGAACTTTTATGCTAATACATTTGGAGATACATTTATTTTTTTAAAAGAAAATAATTTCTAGGGAGCCATCAGAATCTCTGTATTCAAGAGAATAAACATCAAGACTATCAAAGAATCCCTTAAGATACCTAAGAGAGTGTTAACATTTTGTGTCTGTAAAGAATTCGCCTGAATTTGTTTTAATCTTTTAACCAAAGAAGCACTCTATTTTGGACGGTCACTTTTGGATTATAATGACTGATCATTCAGATGAAAGATACTAAGAAACAATTAGTAATGAAGAACAAATGTTCTGTCAAATAAACTTTATTATAAATGGACTACCATCAATAAAATTTTATTCCTTACTAATACTTAGGAGTTATTTCTCTTTTGCAAAGCAGTAACTACTTAAATCAGATGTTTTAAAGTAATATTCGCCACATTTAAATTAGGTAAAAAGTGTAGTGCTCATAATATGTGCAAAAATAATGGGCTCCTGTTAAAACACTGTGTTCTAGATGCTATATCAAGGGCTTACTGGTATAATATACTTTCGTGACATAGTATTATTCCCCTCATTTTATAAATGATATAACTGGCGTTCAAAGAGAATTAACTTACCCAAGTTTACGCAGTTGACAAAGCTGGGATTTGAAACCAAGTTTATCTGTGCTTTTGGTCATTCTTTGACATCAACCAAGTTGCTCAGATTTCTAACTAAAGAAACTTGGGTTAAACAGTCTGAAGTTTTAAAGAGGTAAAGGAGGAAAGGATGCAAAGTTAGGCTTTTTGAGAGAGATTAGATGCACTAAGAACCATAGGATCAAAACTAATTGTAATATAACGAAAGAAGTTGAAGAAGTATAGGACACTAAAGAAGCCATGATCTTGCTAGTCCAGAAGTCATATGAGGGTTCACTTGAGAATCAGCTATAGAGCGAAGTGTTTATCTGCTGTCTTCAGTTTGTCATGTCTTACGTATTCAGATTTGTATTCTAATTCTTTAATTCTTCTTTCTTAGTCTTACACCTGAAATAGTCAGTACACCTTCCTCACCAGAAGAGGAGGATAAATCAATACTTAATGCAGTTGTTCTTATTGATGATTCAGTGCCCACAACAAAAATTCAAATCAGATTAGCAGATGGAAGTCGTTTGATACAAAAATTCAACAGTACACACAGGTAAGCTTTACCAGCAAAGTGTCTGGTTGGCTATTATATGCTAAATTACTTATCTAAGTAAAATTTTATGTAATTTAAGTAATGATTTACTTTAGATTTGTATTTGAAATAAGTTTTGACGGAGGAAAAAAATCTTCAAAAGGGTGATAGCTGTGCATGAGAAATGAAATGCATGGTATTCAAGTAATCTCTGTAAATCATGAAAATGCTAATGCAAATTCGGATATCACATAAAAATAAAGAGCTGTAGTTTGCATTGTTGCTAAAACCTTATGAAGTGGAATCAGATTTAACTTAATATGGTAAAACCTTATTTGGACTTTACTCATTTAAAGATATGTGATAACTCTGATTGGGATTAATTTTCTGTATAGCAGATTCTTCATTATATAAATGTTTAGTATAAAAAAAGTTTGTGTTGTTGTCAAGTTCCTCAAATAAACTTTTAAATATCCCTTTCACATCATTTGTCCGTGGACATTTGTTGTGCTCATAAGGTAATTATTTGTATTTATTGGTTCATTGAAGCAGAACCTTAAAGGATACATTTATGATCTTAGTTACTATGTATATATAAGAGTACTTAGTAAAATTATTCTTAGAACTTAACACACATTTTGTAGTTTTAGATTCACCTGGCTCCGGGCCAATCATAGTTACCTTTTTCTGGGTCATATGTTGCCAACACATTTTGTACACTGAAAAAAATAAAACCTGTACTTTTAGTATAACAATATTGCTATGCTTATTTTATTCATAACTCACCTGAATATTGTTTCTGTTTTACAGTAAAAGTAAATGTTAAGTATACTCTAAAGTTTATCCTTTCATTGAAATAATATATATTAAGATTATAACACCTTTACATAACAGTTACAATTGTGTGACTTTTGTTATAATCTACTTGTAGCTATAAGCTTACATGAAAATACGGTTTTTTGTATCACAAATAGTTTTTATCTTATTTCTTCAGGATCCTGGATGTTCGAGACTTTATTATACAGTCTCGTCCTGAATTTGCAACTCTTGACTTTATTCTTGTGACTTCATTTCCAAATAAAGAGCTAACAGATGAAAGCCTGACACTACAAGAAGCAGATATTCTTAACACTGTGATACTCCAGCAACTAAAATAATATTGCTCCTATCCATGCAGTAGCATGTGGGAATAGATAATGTGCCATATTAATAAGAAAAATAACTTCCAGTATTAAAAACAACCAAATTATTTTTATTATTTTTACAGATAAATTTTTGTTTTATTGTTATTCAGTCTTCCAGCCTTAGTATAAATGAATTTGAACTAGGAGTAGATCTTAAAATAAGTGTGTTCTAGTTTTTAGCTTTGAGGCTGGTTTATGTTGACAATTTTTAAATAACTAGGCAAACCAATTTGTTACATGCTCGGTGTTAATGTGACAATATTCGTTTGCAGAAAAAAGGAACAAAACCCCTTTTTGATACATACATTTGGTTAAATTTGCACTAAAGTTTCTTGATGCAGCATTGACCAGCAGCCAATAAGAAATCTTTTGATCTTTGATGAAAATTTTTCTTTAATATATATGGAAAAGTAAATCGATCATCCAATAATTATATTTCTCCTGTTAGAATTTTACACATCTTTTCTACTTACTGATTTAGCTATATTACTCGTATCAACAAATAAAGTTTGGCCTTGTATTTTATAGAACTGTGACCATCATAAACTAGAAACAAAAAGACAATTCTTGAGAAAATATGTTAAATAGCACTTTAAAATTCAGTAATTACTGTTCTTCACAGAGCTTGCCTTGGTCAGATTCATTTATTCATTTAACACATTTTTCTAGGGGATCCACTATGTACACTAAACACTATTCTAAGTGCTCAACTCAGAATGCATTCTCCAAAACAAACTGTATAAAAATACAGGAATGTAAATTCTGTCAGACTAAAGCTAAAGATTTACCAGCATAAATATTTACATTTCTGTTGGAGTCCTAAATGAGTTAGACTACATCAGGAGTGATAGAAAAGCTTTCCCTTCTTCCCAGACACCATGTTACCTTTGTTACCTCTTCTGACTGATTAGTTTTCCATTCCTGCCACAGTAAAGTCCAAAATTTGTGATGTAAAATAACAGACTTATTATCTTACAATTCTGTAGGTTAGAAGTTCATCATGTGTTTCACTGTGCTAAGGTCAGTTTGCTGGCAGGGCTGCATTCCTTTCAGGGAGGCTCTAGGGGAGAATCATTTCCTTGCCATTTGAGCTTCTCAGGGCCACCTCCATTACTTGGTTTGTGGCCCTCTTCTTGTGTCTCAAAAGCCCATATACCATCACATTTTTCTGATAGCAGCCAAGAGAGATTCTCTGCTTTTAAGGACTTGTGATAAAATTGAGTCCACTGGATACTGTAAGATTATCACCTCATCTTAAGATTCATAGTAACCTTAATCACATCTGCAAAAGTCCCTTTTAACATTTAGGGTTACTTACAGGCTTAAGAATTAAGATATGAACATTTTAAGTGGATGTTACTTCTCCTGCCTACCACAGCCCACCCTGTTCCAAAGATTTGCATCCTTCCCTAATAAATTTTACCACATTCTAAGGTGCTCAAAAGTCTTAACCCATGATGGCATCAGTTCAAAGTCCACAATCTTTTCTGACTTTCACCAACTCATAAGTTTGAAATCTCATTATTTAAATCATCTATTTTAAGTATAGAAGAGAATCTGGGAATTATTCCTGAGGCATAATTCCTCTTCATCTATGCATTTGTGAACCTGAAAAACAAGTTATGTATACCCAAATAGGATAGCAGGACAGACATAGAATAACATACACATTCCTGTTCAAAAGCAGAAAATGGAATGGGAAAACAAGGAACCACCAGTGCCAATCAAGTTACAAATCCAGCCAAGCAAACTTCATTAGATTTCAAGGCCTGGGATCAATCTTCCTTGGCTCACAGCTCAGTTTTCTGGGCTTGTGACTCTGTCTCTGAATGGTCTTTCCTCTTTTCCAACAGACAGTTTGCAGCTGAGTCATCTTATCATCTTGTTTCCTTCTTTAGTTTCATATTCTCTATACCTTTAATTAACAGTGGCAGTGTTTCTGCTGACATATCAAGAAACTTGTGGGTCTTCTGTGTATGTCACAGGAATCCATTTCATCAGGCAGGAAGTTCCTCACCTGTCTTTCCTGTATAATGTCTACTTTTGACTTTTTCTGAAACAGAAGGGATCTATGATTCATACCCTTAAGTATCTTCACAGAGTCTTATGTGAATAGGTAAGACCTTTTGATCTTTCTGAGGTATCTGCAAAAGATTGTACGGCCACACTCATGTCTCTCTCTAGAACAGGCTTCTGACTGTGACTCTTAGTGTCTTTTGCCATTTGGGGAGGCTGAGAATTTCCTGAATCATCAGCATCATATAATAGTTATTCCCTCAATTTTTCTACCTCCTTTCACATTTTACTGTAATCAGGAAGAAAACAGCAGGCCATACCTTTCTCGATTTACTTGCAAATATCTTTAGCTAAATAATAATTTTAACACTTATAAATTCTGCTTTCTAATAACTGCAGGACACTACTATTCAAGTAGATTCTTTGCCATTGTGTGACAAGGATCTCTTACAGTTTTCCAGTGATACATTCCTTACTTTCCTTAAAGCTCCCAGTGGCAGACCTTTAATGTTATTTCTTCCAACAGTCTGTTGATTACATTTAGATATTCTCTATGGCAATTTAGATACTCTACCACTCTCCTTCCTTTCTTCAAGCCCTTGCTAACGTTAACACTTTAGATTTCTACCTACAATCTAAGGCAATCTGCACTCTTACTGTCATGCTCTTCACAATTCTTTCAGCTTCTACTCACTGCCTGACTCCAGAGCCACTCTCCGTCTTTAGGTATTTGTTTCAGCAGCACCCACTTCCAAGGATCCAGAAGTCTTTTATGCCTACTCACTGCCAGACTTGAATGTGCTGCTAGTAGATTTGGAATTCACCTTTCTCAAAGGTCACTAGTTCTTCAAGGAGGTGCTAGAGGCTTTAATACTAGGAGTACTAACAGAACTGCCACAGGATAGAAGTGTTGATCCCACCACTGCAGAGGATTTTTTTGTGTCATAACATAGCGGAAGATTATTCTTTTTTCTTTTCTTTTTTCCGAGTTGGAGTCTTACTCTGTCACTCAGACTGGAGTGCAGTGGCTGCTCCCAGCCACTGCATCCTCCATCTGCCGGGCTCCAGCGATCCTTCCGCCTCAGCCTTCCAAGTAGCTGGAACTACAGGCACACGCTACCACGCCCAGCTAATTTTTGATTTATTGTATAGATGGGGTCTCGCCAAGTTGCCCAGGCGGGTTTTGAACCCACGGACTCGGGCAATCCACTCACCTCGGCCTCCCAAAGTGCTGGGATTATAGGCTGAGCCACCAAGCCTGGCCTGGAAGATTATTCTTAAGTCATCTTCAAAATAGGAAGCCCTGCTCCTTTCTACTTACTGAACAAGTTAGTTAATACATATATATATAACAATCCCAATTCAAGAGGTAAACTACATTTCCATGGGGCAAAAATCATCTCCCTAAGGAAATGGGTTTCTTGAAAGAATTTTTTTTTTTTTAGTCGGAGCCTCATTCTCTGTAGCCCAGGCTGGAGTGCAGTGGCATGCTACTCACGGCCACCACAGCCTTGACCTGGTAGGCTCAGGTGATCCTTCTGCCTCAGCCTTACAAATAACTGGAACTACAGGCACGTGCCACCACACCTGGCTAATTTATTGTAGAGATGAGGTCTCGCCAAGTTGCCCAGGCTGGTCTCGAACATGTGGGCTCAGGCAATCCTCTCACCTCGGCCTCCCAAACTGCTGGGATTATAGGCATGAACCCACCATGCCTGGCCAAAAGAAATATTTTAAATAAAAGGGCATTGTTCTGTTTTGGATTAACAAAACAGGAAAAATACTTATTTTTTTGAGTCAGGGTCTCAAACTGACTCCCAGGCTGGAGTGCAGTGGCACTATCATGGCTCACCACAGCCTCGACCTCCTGGACTCAGGCGATCCTCCCATCTCAGCTCCCTAAGTAGTTGGGACTACAGATGTGCATCACCACATCTGGCTAATTTTTAAAAAATTTTTTATAGAGGTGTGGTATCACTATGTTGCCCAGGCTGGTCTTGAATTCCTGGGCTCAAGTAGTCCTCTTGCCTTGGCCTCTCAAATTGCTGGGGTGACAAGTGTGAGCCACAGCACCCAGCCAAAACAGGAAAAATAACCAAACCTTATAAAATTATTTGAAGTTTCCTTATTGTGTTTATCAGTTGAGTGCCTATAGACGCACATACAAAAACAACTGCCATTTTTGTATATAATAGTCTTCCAAAGTACAGAGATTTACATTAGGAGAATTAAACTACAGGAGGAATAAACAGTACTTTTATATGTGCTACATAGTGTTTTGCATCATTGAGAGTCATTTTTTTGAATTATTTTTACGACTGTCGTCATCGTAACTTAACATTTATAGTCACCTCAGAAAAGATTGTCACAATATACAATCAGACTACTATGTTTGAGGTCAGTCATTCTGCATGATGTATGTAATCAAAAAGTTTTAAGTGTCTGCTTATCAATAAAGAATTTTCACTGAAACTTGTTGAAAAGGTTTTTCAAGATTTATTTGATGTTTAGTTATTATTTGAGTGGCTGAATAGATTACTTTCAACATGAGTAAGGTGGTTTAACTTCTCTTGATGTACCTTTTTTGGGGGGCAAGGAAGGAACTGAGTTGTAGCATATTGTCTCAATTTCCCATTACTGTTTCTGTATTCTACCCAAATAAAAACATCAGGTTCTTCTTAACTTTGCCACAATGAATTTCTGAAAACTTGCTGTGATATGCATTGTTATAAAGTGCATCGTGTTTGCCCCTTAAAATTCTGAGTCTCTCATCAGTGATGGAAATTAATATGTATGTGGCCACTGCTGACATAAAGGCTAAGAAATCATTTATGTAATCCTCTAGAAAGTTTTTAATTAAAGTATCTTCTAATTCCAGTTAAATGGGTTATAAAAGGAGTCCTAATGCACATGTATAAAAATGTGTATTTATGTGCGTGGTTTTGAACACACCAAAATGAAAATGGCTTGTGTGGCCTAGAACTGATAGCCAGCTGTGATCCATTTATCAGATGAATAGTTTTTCCTCTTTGGAATTTATAACTATGACTTGGGGCTCTTGGGGAGGGGGGAAGAAAAAGAAAAGAATAAAATGCTCCCTTAAAGTTTTAACTTGATGACTTGTTTTCTTGTAGATAAATGTTTCTATCTGAAGCAGACATTCAGAATCATTCTGCTGCTACCATAAAATTTACTTTGAGTACTGTAGTTGATTTCTTGTGACTTCATTGGCACAATTCTAAGTGCAGCCACTCAAAGGAAAGCTGCAGGGAAAGAATAGTAGTAAGTCATTGTTTTTTTTTTTAATGTATCACAACATTCTTAAATTCTTTGGAGGACCTTATAAACAACTCAGTGTGGACTTGAAGACAACACATAATTACCTATACAATACTTTTTCTGTTGGCTTATTGAATCAAGACGCGCATGTGTGTGTGTGTGTGTGAGACAGAATTAGGTAACATTAAAAGAGGGCTAAAAATGAAATTATCTTTTCTGTCCTTTTCCTCCAGTTTACATTGGCTTGGAAGTACAGTTTAAAATGGTTTATAGTTAGTGTTGATGTTTAGGCCAGTACCTTGTCTCACTTTATCCCTGGGGATAGAAGAGTATTTAAGATGAGTTTATGTCCCTTTTCTTTTCTACCTTTGTATCGATTTTTGTTTTTATTTTTCTTATCTACTTAGTGTGTCTTTCAATATGCTTTTTAGAACTTTCTAATTAACAATTATTTTTTGTAATGAATAAAAATGTCATTGTGTCTGTATTTGACGTCTTCCCCATTTTAGTCTTCATTTTTATATTTGTGGAAAAAAAGACTTGTTTCTTCAAAAGTTTTACCATTTTTATCCTGGGACCAGGAATAATAAAAGCTATAATTTTTAATTCTCTGAAAATCTATGTTGATTAAAAAGTAGCAACTATAAATACTACAGATAATAGACCATCTGTAGACTTGAAAGTGAAAGCATGGGCTAATTAAATACAAGTAGAGGTTCTGCTAATAGTAGCCTGGAAATTGAGCATAGGAGGTAGTAAGATAAAGTAACATACAAAGAAAAAAAGGTTCATTCTTCTACAAGTCAATACCAGGTTCAACATTCCATGGAATAAGGTGGTCATTTTTATTAATATAGTAAAATTCTATGCAAATACCATGTTTTATATATGTGTTTATAGGATACATAATAGGTACTAGGAGCACCCTCCCCTTGAAAACTTATTAAAAATAATATTTATAATGTGAGTAGAGACTTGTGTTTAGGATATTGGGTACAGAGGTGTTCATAACAACTCAAATCTGACTTTATAGTCAGTATCAAGCATGTGGATGATGTATTTGCAGTAAGGAGTACGTATTTTAGGGATAACTACTCGAATGTATCACTCATTAAAGGCCTAAGAGCAGAGTCATATATTTGCAGGCAGCACGTTACAGTAAATGATGCACCATTTGTAATTCTGATCTCAGCTTAATAATCGTAGCTTCTGTGGAGGCTTTTCCTTGATGGCTCACTGTCAAGTCGTCACTTGTCTCTCTCAGTCATTCTACCCTATTTAGCATAGCATCAGCAATACCTGATCTTTTGTTAATTTGTTTGACTTACTAACATTGCCCTTCCCATCTGCCCAACTCTCCACTTTGTATCCCTAGAGCCTAAAACTGTATCTTAATAAGTAATAAATCAATGAATGAAGAAGAAAACCCTCTGTACTTTGGGAGAATAGGATTAATGTTTTAAGAATGAGAGATTCAGAAGAGTGCCAACAAAGTTGATGCTGATGATAGAAAATATTTGTACGTTTTGATTGTTTTTCTGTTTTTGGCTACACCTGCTGGAATGGGATGATTGGGCTTTAAAGGGAGAAAAAAGTTCTAGAAGAAAGACAACTTTGGTTCATTTCTGGGCATGGTAGTGTCTGTAGCTTTAAGTGAGGTGTCCTTGGTTGTTCCCATGGTAGATTTGAAGTGCAAAAGGCCAAGGGATACCTGCATGAGGAACTAGCAATGTGTGAAGTTCCTAGGATTTTATGAATCCCAATAGTCATAAATTCTCACTTAATTTTCCATAAAATTCTAGAAGTTTGGAGATAAGGAAGAACGCTGTGCTATGAAGACATAATAGAAGCCTGTTAAGTCTTATTGGATTACTCAGAAGCAACCAAAAATTTGCTGGTCACTTGTCATGTAATCTGTTTGCTTACGGTATGATTTTCTTACAGGTTTTATATATAATACAGGCTATATAATGCAAGACTGTATAATAGTCATTCAGTTTATTTTATTAAATTTGCATTATTTAACATTTTCAGTCATTGATGTTTTATTTTAGAATAGAATATCTCCCACCATCCATTTATTTGTTACTTGACTATTGCCACTCAGAAAATGCAAAAGAGAAGTTAATAAGATTTTATTACAGTAAATTGGGAGTGTGCTAAAATATATGTAATAACTTTCTAAATTAAAAAATGGCTGAAAATTGGATGATACTAGAGGCTTTAATTATGTGGCACTCATCTGAAATCAAACCGGTTCAAGTCACTGTTGACTTTGGCTACACACTCAATTTGGCTGAACTTATAAAGAAAATCCTCACTTGTTATATATTGTTCTTGTTCTCCAAATTAATTTAATTATGCAATCTTCCATGCAAGCAAAGGCGACAGAAATGACCGGGAGTTACAGATTTCCAAACAACCTTTATAAACAGACAAGGATATCTGCAAACATGCATGAGTTTCGGTGTTCTTCTTGGAGCTGTTTTTTGGGTAGAAAGTGATATTATGGAACTCTCTTAACTTGGAACTATTAAGTACACTTTTATGTATGTTAAAATACTCAATGACTACTTAATTTCCATAGGTTTCTTTTTCTTTTTACTTATTAAAAAATGGCACTAAAGAGACCAGGAGTTCTCTCTTTGAAGAGAAACTACTTTTAACACATGACTGTACCCACGGGAATCTCAGTTCTTTTGCTTTAGATATGATGAAAATTGCAGCAAGGCATGGTTGG